CCTGTATAGGGTTTCAAAAGCTGTGAATCGTTACAGGAGCAAAAAGCCTCATCTTTCTCCAATAGATTCAAACTGTTGACCTTGTGGTTAACAGCCCAACACGTAACCCACTACACTCCCAGTCATTATAGCAACTGAAATAAATGAGTTCAGCTAAAAATGAGCAATTTACTTACTCAGAAAACCTAATATTTTCTTCCTTTCTTTGTTTTTAGGGAGGAAATTAAGATTAAGACAATTATTTGGATAGTTTCGATGTCTCAGCTATTTTGTTTAGTCCAGTCCAGGTGACATTCATTTGGGGTAAGGAGTGGAAAGATGAGGGAGCCAGAGAAGAGGAAAGGGAGACAGGTAAGGTTTCTGACTTACAGTATACAGTCTGTTAATGTTCTTACTTTGTAAAGAGAGCATAAACAACTAGCTTAATTCAGTTTTGAGAAGTCATTGCTTTCTGAGGCCAGCAAATGTCTAGGGGTCTCAGCAATGGTGGCCTATCCTTCTTTGCCAGCTTCCCAAGGTATCTTTCTGGCATACCATATGTATACAATACTGTTAGTAATTGTACTCATTATCTATCCATCTCTCTGCTATCTTCAAGTATCCCCTGGGGATCCACCATAAAGTCTGTGTGGGTCTTGCTGTGTGTGGTGATACCAGATGCCTTCATGAGTTCAGTAGCAATCACAAAGACCTGGAGAGCATGGGCTGGTTTGACAATGGTCTCACCTAGCTCAGAGCCTCCTCCCTGTATCTTCTAGCAATACCAAGTGCTATTACATAATTGATGGACAATGTATAACTTTATTTTTTATGATTATTTGTTTCTATCTTGCTGTTAGAAGAAGTGAAATAAAAGTATTTCAAAAGAAGATACCCATCTGAAGTGGAAATTTTTGCATAATTTTAATTTGTCTTTGTTGCAGAACACACAGCAGACACAAGCATTTAATAGAGGAAGGGAGGGAAGGGGGAAGAAAGAATAAATTATTTAATCAATCAATAGTTGAATGGAGGCAGTGGGGAGAGAAAAAATATTCACCACAATGACTTTTCCTCCTTTTGAGTGCCTTACCCTAGGGAGGTCGGCTTGGTGACTGGTGCCATTCAGGACCTTCATAGTGTGAGCTGAGTGTGTTCCAAATGTGGAGGTGAGAGACTCAACCATTATCCCTGATTTGGACCTAGACCAGAGCCAAACCAAACCCATTATCCTTCAGTAGTCTTTTCCAAAGGTAATATTTAATATGCTCTGAACACAATTTGTACCTTAAAGTTTTGAATCCTCCTAAAGCAGTGGTCCTCAGCATGTAGCATGCATGCGACTTACCCAGGGTGCTTGCTGCAAATGCAAATTCCCAGGAAAATCACTAGGCTCTCACACCTGGGATTCTGGCTCTATCAATCTGGAATGGGGCCTGGTAACCTGCTTTTTAACAAACACCTCAGGCAATCTGCTGTAGGTCAGACACTTTAAGAAATACTTAAAAAGGACAAAGTGGCCCAGGGGAAGCATTGCTTTTAGTTTATCCTATCTCAGTGTTCTAAATGGAAAGATCAAGGTTAATATTGGTATTCCCATTTTATAGAATGAGCACTTGAACGGAAGCTCTCTAACATTCCCTAGTGGATTATATAACCTACCAAAACCAAGAGAAAAAGGAGCTCTGGTAGCATAGTAGTAATGAGTTTGGCTGCTAATCTCATGGTCAACAGTTCAAAATTACCAGCAGTTCTGTAAGAGAAAGATGAGGCTTTCTGTTCCCGTAAAGATTTACAGCCTTGAAAACCCCATACAGGGTCACTATGAGTCGGAACTGACTCCACGGTATATAACCACAACCACCACCACCACTACCAAACCAAGAGAAAAGGACATGTTATTTGGTAAAGTAGAGGGTCATCAAAATTAAGGGAAACCCTCAGCAAGATGGATTGACTCAAAAGCCACAAAAAAGTGGACTCAAATACATGAGGTCACTGTGATTCAGAACCAACTAGGTGGCTACTAACAACAACAAACCAACAATGTGTGACTATGCTCTACAAAGAGCCTACGGTACGAATGTGACCATTTAAAGTGTGGGCCATGAGCTGACGGCAGAGCGAGCCCTGCAGCAGTGGTCCCCATCACCTACCATTGACTCATGGCCCTTGAACTAACATACACTCTTTCAACCCAAAGAGAAACTACTCTAATTTGGTTCCCAAACAATTTTAAGTTTCACAGAGAAGATTAAAAAAATGTACTTTTGTAATTGTAAGTGCAATTGTGTGGGAAGAGATTGCTTTTCAGAGAAGTTGATATTTCAGTTGAAACTGCAGCTATACAAAGACAAAAAATGTTTGAGACAGAAAACCAATTATCAAGATTCTGAGGCAAGAAGGAGCTTGACCTGTAGGGGTACCACAAGGAAGCCAGCATAGCTGGAATGAAGAGGTGGTAGAGGTGAGGCTGGAGAGATTGGCAGGGCCAGACCAGAGTTTTTATTTTATTTGGGTTGTATAGGAAGCTATGTGAAGTTTTTAAATCAGGGAGTGATAAGTGATCTGACTTAAACTCTAGTAAGATATATTGAAAGTGCCATGGGCTGCCAAAAGAACCAATAGATCCATTTTAGAAGTGCGGCCAGAGTGCTCCTTGGAGGTCAAGATGGCCAAACTTCGTCTCTCATGCTTTGGACATATTGTCAGGAGGGACTAGTTACTGGAGAAGGATATCATGTTTGGTAAGATGGAGAGTCAGAGAAAAAGAGGAAGACCCCCAAAGAGATGGCTTGGCCAAGTGGCAGCATCAATGGA